AAACTTCAATGTAGTTTGCTAAATGCCTCTGGGCACACACAGATCCCAGGGCACCATGTGAAGTAGCAGCCCATGTGACAAGGGTGATGGAGAATGGAGGAGCAGGAGGACCAATGGAGCCAACAGGGACAGCAACAACAGGGACCGCCGCAATGCCCAGCATGGAGGGTGATCTGCAGGCGACCTTGGAAGAGATGGCTGTGGCCATCCAGGGGTTCAACGATTCAAGGTGTCAACTACAGCATCAGCGACCATGGCACAACCACGGAGGAATTCAGGACCATGCGGTGATGTACTGCTACCACTGCGGGAGGTCGGGCCACATCGCGAGAGGTTGCCGAGGGGAAGTCATCCCGAGACAACCAAGAAACACCCAGGCGTGTCGCCTGTACACCCAGCCAGATCACACGTGCACCTCATTTCCAAAACCCTCATCACCAACATCACTAGCACACCACTCGATCACATCGACCTGGAGTGAAACAACAGGGAAAATTCGGCCAACATCTCGGGCTAAGTGGAAAAAGTTAGTGAGATCGGTCGTAGCAGCAGCGACAGGAGCAGCATGGTGTAAACCGACCCTCCCTGACTCGCCGAGACAGGTGATGTCAATAAACACAGCAACGATAGAAAATGATGTACCACCCACAGATCATGATCTTGGGCTGATAAGGACCGAATGAATCCGATTGCAAAAACAGGATGAAATTATACAGTCATTGGCTGCACAGGCAGCTGAATGTGCTCAAACTGGTCAAAATGGGGAGCCATTCATCCCATGGCGAGGACTCCTGATGAGGTGGGACATGAAGATGCAGCGTTGTTGCCTAGTGGTGCAAAAACCCTTGCAAAAACAGTTGCTACTAGAAGTGCACGCCAAACAACAAATCCACTTGGGCCACCGAAACACATTGCTCACACTGCAGGCTCGATATTTTTGGCCAGTGATGTCAAAAGATGTACGCGAGCGGGTAATCATTGTCAGGAGTGTGCAAATAGGAAACCTGCTCCCCATCCTATACAGCCTCCACTGCAGTCGATCGCAGTGGTGAGGGTAAACGAACTAGTAGCGTTGGATATCCTGGGTGCATTTCCTAAAACAGCAAGGATAAAATAAATATTTGCTCGAGGGGATGGAGTATTGCACACACTGGCTCGTTGCATGGCCAATACATGACCAAACGGCTGCAATAATAGCAGAAGCCTTTCTCCATGGCTATGTATTGGACAAGGGCCCCACTGAGAAACGTCTAACAGGCCAGGGTCAGAATTTTTCTACTAATCTGTTGCGAGAGGTTTGTAATATCGTGGGCACTAAGAAAAATTCGAACGCCACCGTACCACCTGCAGTGTGATGGACAAGTAGATAGGCTTAACCGCACGCTGTCCGCAATGTTGTGCCATGTTGTAAATGGTGATCAGATGGACTGGGACTTGCACATCCCAGGGGTCCTAGGGGCATATTGTAGAGTGCCACATGCATCGGCCGGGCTCTTCCCCTTCTTTTTGATGTATGGGAGAGACCCTGAGCCACCTATTGAGGACCAACTGGTGGCTTTCCCTGCTAAAGTTGTGTCGTCGCCAGCCTCCCTCAGACTGCCACTAAAAAAGCTCTGTGAAGCTCGTGAAGCCGCGATAGCAGAGTCAGGCAGATCGCAAATAGCAAACAAACGGTTGCGGAAAAGAACAGAGACGCCTGTACCCTTTGAACAGGGTGATCGGGCCTGGTTACACTGTCCTGAGGTCCGGGTTAGAAAATCCGCCAAACTACACCATCCTTGGCAAAGCCCAGTGGAATTGTTAAAATCCTCTGCCCGCAAAGTGTTCGCATCCAAATGGGACGCCAGAGATGGGTGGTTAATCCGAGTCGCCCTAAACCATATAGAGAACTGACGTCACAAGGGATCGTTCAGGCTCAAAAAGGCCGTGTCCAGGGGCGTCGTGATGAATGCCAGGGAGGGGAGCATCCTCCTCACAGAAATACTGCCCCCGCACTCTCCTCTCAGGATCGACCGGAATGAAGATGGCCACGATGAGGGAGGCCGACGGACTAATTTAGAGAGGTGCCGAGAAGGAGTGTCACCGGGTCGAATGTGCTGCTCGACCACACCTACAGTACATATTGATGGCTTGTTGTAAATGTAGGGCTAATGATGTTGCGTATTGTTTGCCTAAGAATGTACACCTTCAATAGGGCAGCCCACGTAAGAGTTTGGTGATGATACTGAATGGTCAAGTTGGGTTGTAATGCCTTCCCCCCCTTGATTCAAGCGCCTATGTTAAGCATTAACCCAGAGGTTAAATGTTTTGTACTCCATGCCCACATCACTGAATCCCGTGTGCGATCCCATTGATTCCCACATAGAGTTCCCTATTACTGGTAGGAACGAAGTTGTAAACTGAGTGTACCAGCCTGCAATAGATGAGTGTACCAGCTTGCAATAGATTAATGCGTCCGTCCGTCCCCTTTCAATACTTTAACGAAGTGAAATCTCGTGCTATTGGGGTGTAAAAATAAAATTGCGCAAAATTCCAATGTTCCTACCAGCCCACCCTGCAGGGACCTGTTAAATTAGAGTTTTAGCCGGGACAGATATTTTTATGGGCAGAAGAGGGTGATGTAGGGTACTGTACATGGCAAAAGTTATAGTGGTGTCAGTGGAGATGGGTGGAAACAGGTGCATGGTACCATACGAGGGAAGGTTCGAGGTAGAAGACGGTAAAGTTTGCTGGAATAATCTTAAATTTAAGCTTTCATGAATGCAGGGATTCATACTCTTTGGTGGAGACGATAGCACAGAGTGGTGTACCTTCTTTATGATTCTGATATTTCCATCCTACCTGCCTATGTCAGCTGTTATTTCCGACTCTTTGTGTCTCTCTCTATGCCTCTCTCTTAGATCTCTCATGCTTACATGTCCTTTGGATTGCACTCTCATGCCTTTGGATTCCACCACTCTTCGATATTACTTTAACATGCTAATCTCTCACATTAACATAGCCACTTTGATGCCCTCTACGAGGAGGCCGCTCTCCGTTCTTACATTTACATGCTAATTTCTCACATTAACATCACTGGCCCCGCCCACTTATTTATGGCCCTTGGGCTACACCCATTTCAAACTCTTTTAAACATTCTGCCTCAACAGCAGATCATGCTTTGCCATCTGATGACGGACGCTTGTGTTGCACCCGAAACGTCGTGATTTATTTTATTTTATACCTACGTGACTTTACCGAAAGAACCAAAGAGTATGGAAGATACCGAGTCAGCTTCATCCCAATGGTGGTGTTTAGGCGAAAGTTTATCTATGAGTATATATAGGCTGGCTGACAGGTATGAAGCTACTCCTTTGGTGGTAATATACAACAAAAACAATAATAAATGTATAACCATTGTCATGGGTGAAGTCTTCCCATACTGGATCAGTCATGGAGATTGTTTCACCATACGCCATCATGCTTCTCAACGTGGGTTGATAACGAAAAGGCTCATGGCCAGTTTGTTTGATGTTAACTATAACCGAGAATCAAACTCAAGTGGCCTGATTCATAGTGCAATGCACAAACCATTGTGACACCGTTCCACTCGTATGTACAAGTTAACAGGGAAATTAAAAACTATGCCATGTTTTTTGTTTACTGTCAATAAAATGAGAAAATAACATTGCCACGTTGGTCAACCCGTCGTCTGAAAATTACGAGATGTACAAGTCAAAAGTCTTAGGTATAATGCAGACAAGGGTTTTGGTAGTTGGACGATTTCAGAATGGGTTGCAGGTGACAATCCTAATCAAATGCCATTTTCAAGATCGTGTGCATACACTCAAAAAAATGATATGTTGGACTAACTTAACTTTTTTATGTCAACAGGATGCACACAACTGGGTTATGTTGCATTTAAGTAACATTATTTATTTCGGTAAACGTAAGTGAATTACTTAAGGTAAATGCAATGTTGTTTAGTTGAATCAACTTAACAGTCTTGGTTTTGTTTTAAACAATAAAGTTAATTAACTACAATTATCCTAAAATTAATACTTTTAAATTCATCCAAAATAAATAATCCATTTTCATTCTGTTCCAGTTTTTTATTGAATCCATTCAATAACAATTCTGAAAACTTTCACAAAAAAATTATAACAAGAATAACTTGCACAAAATCTGTAATCTAAAAAAAACTAACTTTACTTTTCAAAATCAAAGGCATCTACTTTACACATTTTTCCAAAAAGAATAACTGGTACAAAATCTGTAATCTCAAAAGACTAACTTTACTTTTAAAAATTAAAAGAATCTGCTTATTACAAGAAAATTAAAATAAATAAAAGCATACTGTCTTTAAATTAAAGGATTAATAAAATATGCACATACAAGTGTTATACTTGAAAAATAATAGCAGTCTTCTTTTGCTTCCTTTTAATTGCACAAGAACAAAAATAAAAAAAACAGTATTATGTACATAAATATATGTACTGCAACAGCCAAACCAACAATGCAACATTATGGAGAAAACATAAGTCCTGGGTCTTGGTCCTGACCTCAAGTTACAGCGTTTACGAAAGGAGTTTATTTTTCAGGACCTGGACCTTGTTTGACAGCTTGTTTGCATCTAGCTCCATAAAAATATTTTGAAATACTTCAAAAGTGTACCTCAGGTCTTGTGGGTAAGCCAAGTTAAAAGCGTAAATTAGACCAAGCATCACAGAACAAGCATTTGCCACATTGTTCAGGTCTTCAAGTATTTGGACGCCTTTAATGATAATGCCAACATCTTCATAAGCGTCTGTAGCATCTGCCCCTTCATGTACGATGACATAAATGTCGAGGGTGGTGTTGCGCATTGAAGTTTGGGCTTCATCATGTTCAACGTCCTAAAAAAGTAAAATACAAATAGAAACAATTAATAACAGATCAGGGCTGAAAGTGGGAGTTGGTTTTAAAGAAACATACAATAGGTTTAAAAAAAAGTAAATAACTTACCAAGTACTCCTTCCCAAGGTTTGAGGGGTCTTCGTTCATGTAAACAGTAAGGGCTTTCAAGATGCATTCACGTTTTTTTTCGATGGTGTCATTCTGAAAAAAATTGAAATGAGCATTAGTTAGCACTTTGCTTTTTAGACTTGTTATTGTACCATTATAAGTAGCATTATACAGATTATCCCACTGTGTTGTTTTCATTCAAGTCAAGTTTGTCATTCTTGTGATTACATGAAGAAACAGAAAAACTGAGAAAGATTAAATCCAGAAGAACTGCGTCAACATCTCCAAGACACCTGAATACACCTTCCTGCAAAGCTACCTGAAAAACTATGAGCAAGTGTACCTGGACAAAAGCTTTTTTAAACGCAAAGGCTGGTCACACCGAGTATTGATTTTATGTAGTTAATAGAAGTTAAGTAAATAAAATCTATTTATGGCATTGTTTTAAAGCAGTACAAAAAGTACTGTAGCTTCGCAGGAAGGTTTCTTCAGGTGTCTTGGAGATGTTGACGCAGTTCTTCTGGATTTAATCTTTCTCAGTTTTTCTGTTTCTTCATGTAATCACAGACAGACTTGATGATGATGAGATCGAATCTCTGTGTGGATCATACTGGCTATTGTCAGACTCCTTGTGTATATAAAAATGTCACTGGATTATTACAATTAATGGCAAAAGGAATGTTTGGAAATGTAAAACGATATTTTGTACTGACACACTGCAGTAAAAGATTTAAATAACTGGCTTAAAACCATTTCTTTTTGGGGTGAAAATATTAACATGCCTAAGACTTTTGCAGAGTACTGTATATACCAGACTTTAAAGGGATACTTAACCCAAAAATTAACCACCTCGATAACATGAGGCTATACATAATGACTGAATTTCCATCTTTGGGTTAAATATTCTTAAAATATAATATTAATTATTGTCAGATTTAAAATTATGAATTTAGAGAACATACCCGATCCATAACTGACAGGATGTTTGTCATCTTCTGTGTTGCTCTTCCTCCTTTCTTTCTGAAGATTCTGAGGAGCTGGGTTGAGAAATTATCCAGCTGACCCATAAATTTGGACACCAAAGGGATAGTTGTAATCCTACTGAATTCTGCAGATACCTAATACAATTTTGAAAGGACAAATCATGTTGGCTGCTGATAAACATGTTTAAAAAACATTGAACATTTTTTTTTCCAGCACTTACAGATGACATACAAAATTACAAATGAACATTTTCATATTTTAGAATTATAAAAACCATCCAAGTATTTAATCATAACTGGCATTACATCAAAGACTTACCTCTCTCTCAGTAAAGAGTGCTGGCCATCTGTTCCTAAACTCAACGATGAACGGCAAATCTTCTACCACCTCATGCCTCCGGAGCACAAATGTTCTCTCCATCAGGACCTTGATAACCTGCTCATTGTTTATTTTAGTCACCTCAGACAGTAGTGTCATCCTTTGCTTTTCAAGCGTATCCTTTGTTCCACCCAATGGGTAATCTGGACAGTAATTAACCTCGGCTTTTCTAGGTTTCTTCACTTGGTTGGGACTTCCCATGGATCCTTTTCGCTTGTGGGAGTTGATGTTTAACTCAGAACATCCCATGTTCCTCAATTTTGTTCTGTAGTTTGCCATCTTATATTTCAGACTTATTTTCCAGCCAAAGTAGCCGCTCACAGAGCCTTTTTCTTTGAGGCATGGGTGCTTCTGTACCAAAGCAGCAGCAACATCATCAAGATCTGCACTTGTAGGGTATGCCTTGTACTTTATTATTTCTGAAGCTAAAGCATCCAAAATATCAGACTTCAGTTTGGCATTGGGGCTCAGGACAATACCATCAGCCTGATAAGCAAGTTGAGCTTTTTGCAGTTGAATCTCAGCATCAAAACTAAACTGTGGTATTGGGAAACGTTCAGGCCATGCCTGACTTCTGAGGACACAGATTCTGGACTTGAAAGTAAAGATGACTGTGAGTATGAGATTATGTCTGTGTCACAGGATGATACTGAAGAGGTCTCATTTATTTCTGGCACAGATGAAGTAGTTGGGAAACTTGTAGATGAAGGCAACTGAATGACCTTGAGTGTAGCTTTATCCTGTATGTCTGAAGTTGAAGTGAGGTTGACAAAATCATTAAAGTCCGGATCTTTGAATTGAAGTCGAAAATCTTCAAGTACTGTCAGTTGTGTTTGGATTTCTCTTTTAAGGTCATTCAACGAGTTTGGTATACCAGTTGGGAGATTTAACCTTTCACAATTATTTTCTCCCAAGATTACTAGAAGTTTGGCTGGGGTACCCATCCTGTCAAATTTTTCTGAAAGAGAGATAGAGGGGATGAATATATGAATATAATACCAGAAGACCAATCCAAACTATTGACATTAAATAGATGTTTAGTATAAAATGAAATATACATAAAATATACAAGTCCACAGAGGACTTCAGTGGCTGGTTATTACACCTCATCTATTAGTATGTGTCGTTTTAGGGTAATCATTCGGACACCGCAAACCTTATAATCTGCAAGAGGGTATGGGTCTTTCAACTCATTGAGGGTAATTAAGCACATTTCAAGAGTTGGTACCAATTCAAACGCCCTGAAGTGCTCTCGATACCATGAACACATTTTTTTGGCAATGAAAGCAAGGTTGTCTTCGATTATACAAATTTGAGCAATTTCTGCAAATTCTGGAAGTCCACCAAGAGACCCATGGGCAATTATCATGCCATTTCGATACATAATGCCATCATAAGAAACATTCTGAGCAACATTGACAGTGGTGATGCCAGGATATCTAGAATTAAGGCAACGTACGACATCCTCTTTCATGACCTCGACCGTGATGGTAGAGACACGTCTGACCTGTAAGGTGGTCTTTTCAGGGCTGGGTATGTGGAGGTTATATCCAACCATCAATTGGTGTTTTCTTACCAAAGTTAGTGTTATGTTCTTGAAGCAATTTGTGTGCCTAACTACTTGTTTGAAGTAGCTATGCTTAGCTTCAAAACGCAATGTCCAAAGAAAAACTAAAGGACCAAAGCAGCGAATCATTTCTGGATAGTGCTCCAAAAAGTGATGCTTTGGAAGCAGCTGTTTAAGTGGGAAAAGCTCCTGATACATCTGACGGTGTTCAGAGATCTTGCATTCCAAATATGCAATGGTCTCATCTGTATGAACTGAAGACACAACCAGTTCCACAATATCCTTCAAGTTTAAAATCAAAAGCCACACAGGTTTCATCTGCAGGCACCAAATGCCCAATAATAAATGGCAGCAGTCTTAACAGACACCAATTTTCATGCGCATTGCCATCAACTGATTTTCTCCTTGCAAATGTCTGTGGCACCAATTGAGGTCGATTTGTCTTATCACCCCACTTGTACGGAAAATTATGGATGAGTTCATTGAGCAGATCAAGAGACAAGATCTTATTTGAAATAAGTACAGAAAAGCACTCTGCCAGCTCAACTGGTACTATGCCTTCAAAAAGATCATGAGCCAAATCAGGAGGATAGCCTGTTGTAACATTAAAGTAGCTAAGGCTGTCACTGAAAACACATGCTTTTTTCACAGCCATGACATTTACACCTTTCTCCTTTGCAAGTTTCACATGTCCCTGGTGTTCTTCTGCAGTCCTTAGTGTAAATTCACCTGCCTTCACTTCATTGGTCTGAGAATCTGCACGAGAAGCTGTACAAAATCGACAACAGTACTCTCCTGAAAAGTTCTCAATGAAGCCAGTCATTGAATGTGCAGCAAGATTATCGGCCACAACAAATTGAACTGTTCCTTTAAGGAATGTTCCCAGCTGGTGGACAAAAACACCTTGCTGTTCCAAAGTTTGGAGATCTTGCAAAAGAGGTCGCAAGATTTTCTCAAATCCGTATGTTATCACGTCTTCTGTTTTGCACAAAACGGTAAGATAAATTGAAGACAAAGTTGACTGAAACATGGATGGCACATTACCCAAAATCCAGTAGATTGCACATATCTTGTGCTTCTTTCTTGATGTCCCGAGAGGGTTGCAAATTTCAAAGTCATCGACATATAAGCACACAGATATCTTCAACTCATCTGAGAAGAAATTATTTGCTTTAAAAAACTGACCATCCTGAATTGACCTGTACTGATGGACATCTCTTCTTAACTGTTGAGAACTGTGACTTTCGACCACTTTGTCTAGTAGGTCATTCTGACCAAGTAGATTCTGTAAAGACTCAAGTATTGGAACATATTCAAAAGTTCTGTTTCCCTTGGCCTCAAGAACATACTCCACGGAGTCTACAACTTTAAAATTTTCCCTGTAATATTCTTTACGCTTAAATGCAGAGGCGAGTGGACCACCATGCTTTATTGCAGTGAGTAAAGGATTTGTTGTACTTAAAGATGTAACAAGGTCTTTGACTAGAAACTCATCATTGTCAATCCTGTGCTTTTGTAAGGTGTCTACAATAATTCTGTATGACAAAGGGAAAGAAGCATCACTCAGTAAATAATGCAAGTCCTCCAACAACTCATCGACAGCTGTGCCTGGGACATGATAGTGATTCTCCAGCTTCAACAGCAAAGAAGCAAATTTAAGCTCTACCAACTTTGGCAAGTTCTCTGGAACCTCTCCTGTATCAATACAACTGGAATCCTCCTCTAACGTAGATGTATTGATTTCTTCGTTTGAAAGAGTGTCATCAGATATTCCTCTTACCTCTTGTTTTCACTATTCCTTCCTTAAAATCAGTCAACGAACACTGACAATGTTTTCGCCTCTTATGTGATTTGAATGTGCTATACACATTTGATTTAAACGAGCAGTCAAACATAAAACTTACTGTCTCATGACTGCGCAAATGCTTACTTATGTGGAGAAAGTAATCATTTACTGAACGAATGTCAGTAACACCACAAACATGACAATTTATCTTTGTACTTTCGCTAGAATTTTGCTTTTGAGGTTGCTGCTCACTACCATGTGATCTGCATAAGTGGGACCGCAGTGCATTCCAGGTTTTAAAAGTGCATGGACAGTAAGAATATGCGCATGGATATGCGTGTCTGCGGCCATATTGTCCATGTACCAACCTTAAGTGTTTTAAAAGTTTTGATCTAGATGTGAGACGAGCCACAATCTCTGCACAGCCACATGTAGGACTCTAGAACTCCAAAACTCTGTGAGAAAAAAAAGATGTAAGTCACCAAAGAATAATAATATAAACAACACTGTAACACTTTATAATAACGTTCAGTTATAAGTGACTTATAAGTAATTAGTTAATGATAAACTAATAATTTACAAAACATGTCTACATTCATAAATGATTAATAAGTAATGTGCTAACATTTTATGAATGTTTTGTTAAATTAGTTGTAAGGTTATTAATGATGAACTAATCATTTACAAAACATGACTATACATTCATAAATGACTAATAAGTGATATGCTAAATGTTTCTATTCTTTTGTTAATTCAGATATGTCATTTATAAATTATTAGTTAATAGGTTAATAAATTATTAATAAGTGGTATGCTATACAGTAAAAATCTGTATATATCCTTTGTAAATAGTTTATACTTTAGATTAGGCCTAACCGCCAAGCTTACATTACTTGTTAGCTAACATCAATGCCATTTTATTCATGTGTCAAATGTGTTTATAGCTGTTATTTGGGTCTTCCAAAGTTTGAATGTTAACATTTTACATTAAATAAAAATGCTCAACACCATTATTTGAGACAGTTATTAAAACTGACATTACTAAAATGTGAAAAAGTGCTTTGCTTTATACAGTAACATCACACACAACAATCCGTTAACACATAAGTGGAGAAACTCTTATTAACTAGCAATTTAATAAGTAATTTGTGTCTTTGTGTGGGGAAATTCACATCAAAGTTCAACAAGTATATATTATATAAGATCGAAACACACGAATGTAACGTTATATGCCTAACTAACAAAAATGCGAAAACCACACGAATGCGGCAACTTCATTAAAATACCATACAAAACACGATATCCGCGATAAACCATCTACTGACAGCCTCTAGCCTATATAAATGCATAAAAGTAAAATACCTCACCTCTGTGTCCACAAAGACAAAACGTTGATTGTGAAATGTTGCATTTGACTGCACAAAATGGCGATGAGGGAATTTGAGTGAGCTGAAGGATCAAAGTTGATCGTTGGATGTGCTTTCCATCTGCGCATGCGCAGATATCGCTCCACCTGCTGACCAAAGTGCGGTACTGCAGAAGCAACACAACTGAATTTCATTCATTTAACACAAGTGAGCTGTGTAAATGGGAAATATCACTTTTTCTAATTTTGTCAACACAACTGTTTTAATTTTAATGCACAAACGTTAGAGCATTATTTAATTTAAACATAA